ATCACTTTTGCCAAGAAAAATTTTAAAATTCTCGATCATATGTTCATCGATGACAGTACAACACAATAAATAAATTCACGAAATATACACGCATAAATAAACTGATTATGTATGCGAAATCGGCAACTTTATTGATATAAAAAATAAAAGCAAAATTCAGGATAAACATACAAATAATTAAACCAATTTTTCAGTAAAGTCACGACAGGAAAAAAATTACCACAATTCAATATTTATTAGTTCAACTATCAGAGTATTAAATAATGATACCGGATTTATATTATAAAGCATAGGTTTTAATGTAAAATTGGCCTCTGGGCCCGTTTTATTAAAATGTAAAAATTATTAGAAATACTTTAAAGAAAGTCTATCCCCTATTGCTTACTGTGAATATCAACATCAGATGGAAGTCTGATGTGTCACATCTAATAATACTCATCAACCATTATCTTGATTACCTAGTGTTTTTGGATGGTGATGCTTCTAACGGATTTTCATTTGATGGAGTGTATTGTTGTGCCTTTTTTGAGATTTCTTGTATCTTTAAGTAATAGTCCATAACCCGACTCTATAATACCAACGTAAAGTTAGATCAATGAATAAGAAAAATCGATTAACTAAACTCCTACTTTAAAAAAATAAGCTTTTCTAACTATTTCATCTAGTACATATAACTGGCTTTTACTGTCCGGAATCGTGAAATTAGATAGGATATCAGCAATATGCAAACCCCCTTTAACACGATGCATTGTGTAAATTGTTGTCTCACGCTCTAAAGTAGATAATAAAAAATAATATATAAATGAATCTGTAATAAATACAACATGATACATTACATACGGTACACTAATACACCAAAACTTTGAAGGCATCCAAGCTGTTCTTCTGGAGCATTACGACGTAGGTGGTGCTGTCGTTGATAAAAGATCGACAACCGCATCGCTACAAAGATGAAAGGATTCTGTGAACTTCATTGCTTAGATTTCAAAACACAAATCTTTGGTAATTGCAGACCCTTTAATAATTTCTCCCTATCTTCGCGATATTTTTTAAGATCCACAACCGACGCATTCCCTACAACTTCTAAAAATCCAATCTCTATTTCATTTGCGTTCACGTAAATTCTTAGAATCCCGTCATAATTTGAACCAAGCAATATCCGAGGTTTTTGGTCATTTGTCTGATTTCGATGTTCTTTACGCAATGTGCTCTCTATCTCTCCACTAGTAAATATAATATTTGATAAACCAAAGTTATATCGGATACAACTACATTAAATCAAAATGATGCATAATATGGGGTCTGATTTTCTTTTAGAGGTACTCAACATACGTTTGAAACCTAATCTTGTCTTTAATATCGTCGAATGCCTTGGGAATTATGGGATTAACAAATGATTCTCTGTAGGCTATCTCTGACATAGTCACATCACGAAGTATATTGGAACATGAGGCGAACAAGAACACACTAACATAAATATGAAAATTAGCTAATTAATTCCTGTGGTGCATTATATTAAGTAATAAAAACAACTTACAATCGTCGATAAATGTCCTGTACCCATAATAGATCATAATGTGTTCTAAAGTCAAACTTTCCCTCGAACGGCTTCTCAAAAATAACTTCTGTTGATAGTGTCTGAATTTCGTCATCAAAAACGGACTTAAGTTCAATGGCAGATGCATACTTGTCAACTAGTGGCTTAATGCTCTTTTCCCATTTTGATTTTCGCACTGTATTCAACTTTTCTTCAGTTGATGGTTCCATCTAAAAGAAGATGTAAGGTTTATTAATAACTGGAACCTGTCAATGGCTTATAATGCATACATCTTCCCAGAATTTCCTCATTCTTTTTTTATCGTCATCTGAAAAGACATTATTTACTGGGTCTACGAGATTTTTTTCGGAGAGGTTAACAATAGTGTATTCAAAAAGACGATGGTTCACATTTGCCATTTTTTGAGATAAGGTGCTGAACCTCGACTGATGAATTTTCATTCACAGATAAACCATCAAAACAATCACTGTCGTCTTCAAGACTGCCAGATTGAACTTGTAAAGAGTCATGTGAAGGGAAAGTGTGAATTCTGAAATAGCCAATAGGAGCATTGTTGCCTAGTGGTGGAGGTAGTGGTGGAGGTGTGATGACATTCGAAGAGGAACGAGAAAGGGGAATGTGGTCACAAAATTGAAGCGCCATTTTTGTCCGTTTGGCATGTTTTTGATCTTGATCCTCTTCATTCTAAAATAAAAATGCAAATTAATTAGTTTTATAGCCCAATTACTATCTAAAAGTACTTATCAGTACCTCTTCATGATCCCTCTTTGCAACGAAAGTTCCACCGTTGGTAATCCCACTTATATTAACGTTGTTAGTCCCACCGCTTGTGAAAGTCGGCTGGTGAAAATGGATCTGCTTGTTTGCCCGTTCATTATTCCACTTTCTTGCGAGTTTATAATCGGGTTGGGTACCCTGGCAATGGAAGACTCGAGGAATTAGCAATATTTTCGACTAATAAATATATTCATTCATTCCTAATCCATCCCATCTGAACAATCAGCCAAACTTGTAGATTGCCTGTGTCGATGGGTCCAACGCTGGCTCGACTTGTAGACTTGAAACATCGGGCAAACTAATTGATCGCCTGTGCCCCAACGCTGGTTTGTGGCTCGACTAATTGACTTGAATGTCATGGAAACTAGTTGATTCCATGCCACGCCACTTCTTCACATCTATGCTTCCAGCAAAAAATATTTTTACTTACGCTTTTATATTTATCAAAAAGAAACTGTGCTTTTTCTCTCCTATTTCCTTCCCCACAGTTAATAATATTTTCAAGACTTCTTAGGTATAAATCTATTTTCAGCTGGAATGGTTCTTCGTTACATTGGTTTAGAAAGTTTATTATATTCCATTCAGTATACGTTTGATTAAAATATTCGTGTGTAGTCATTATATTCCAAGATAATTATAAGTTGCGAGCGTTAAGTCTGAAAGAAGAAATTTTGGAAAAAATAAATTACGTGAAGCTGACGATCATATACATCATTATCGTGCATGTACTGTACCACTTCTAAAATTTCCATATGAGGTATATTGTCATAATTTTGAAGAATGTTCATGAACCAAATTAACCAAATTTGAGCTTTCAGAAATGGTGTTTGTGCCCTCACAAATTAGTTATGCATAACGATAAGCTAGTAGGGTGATACTCATAGGCCGACATTCATCTGATTGGCTAATTGATTCAATTGCCCGGGTAACTAATTTATGTGCTTTAAAGTACT